TACAGAATATCAATTAAAGGACCAAATGCCAAAAACTGGTAGTTGATTCCATAACCGTACAATATTATATAATTGTAAAACCTTTATGATACCAATCGACTGTTAGTAATGCGTTAAAAGATTCGTTTTTTGGATTGCTGAAGGATATATCGTCAATTAAAGAGTGGGTGGAAGTCAATATTTAGGACTCATTTCCAACTATGCTCACGGAATTTGCTATGGAGGCTGGTTCGACTATGTGTCCTGCCCACATTTTCTTTTTGAGATAGGCATATACTTGTCACTATGGCTGGTGCTACCGCATGCTTACACATTCCAAGTAAGTTCACTCTCACCTCCTGAAGATCAATGGATGCAGCAATGTTTAAGTTTCTGCTCATATTCGTGGTAGTCAACCAATTGTTTGCTGCGCAAATCACCCACCGATGGTATCGAAGAACGTTCAAAGCTTATCCGCCAGACCGAAAAGCTATCATACCCTTTTTACTCTAAGAAGTTTCTCTAATTGTTGATTTACGTTTTATTTATAATCCCATTTTCCTCGACTTGTTGACTTTTTTGGGTACAGGTGAATATATATCAGTAATCACATGGTTTTGTAATGGCGTGAGCCGTAGTCCTACCGTCTTATAACGTTTATGTTGTCCAGTCGTTATAGTCTAGTCTAATGGTAAGATGAAGTACTAAAAATTAAGTGGTAGTAGTAGTTTTTCTAATGATACGGTGCTTTTTGCGGAGGAAGGCTGTTATGGTTAACGGCTTTTCAGTTCTTGTTGTTGCTTAATCTCGTTGAGCTTGGATAAGTTGTTCTCTCCAAACTGTTACGTTATCTCGATGCAAATAAAGTTTTGACGAAATCTTTAAACTTAGAAAGTAAAGGATAGATTACATATAAAAATACTGCCTCAGCTCTGATCATGCTGTTAGACCCCTTCATTTGAGAGGATGTTTTGGATTAACTTTTATTTACCATAAATAAACACAATTGGTTGCTAAATATATACATTACACACAACATTAAGCGAATTAGTAGCACAATCATCGGAAGTAATCCATATTTGTAGCTGAGGTGATTCAGACTTCCAGGGATGAATGCTGAAAAGAGGGCCTATATTGCCTCTGCCGGGAATCTTTAATCCATCCTTTTTTAGATTGATTAATAGAAGGGCCAGATACTTATCCAGCCAAAGTATACCCATTTTAACACCTGACAGTTTTCCTTTTCTTAACCTCATATAACTGTGAAAATGTGCAGTAAAGAAACGCTGAAGTTGCAGTACTGAATGCAGTGCAATTCGCGCTTGTTCTTGAAACTTTGGTTCTTCGAAAGTTCTGTATTGCAGTATGTCATGATTTTCTTCAACGAATGCGCAATTTTTCAAAAGTGGCAAAGGGGCATAGTTTATCACAGCACCATATTATTTCACTTTGTAATTTTCCTAACGATGCTATTGCGGGAAGAGTTGGGTAGTTGTTTGCTACCTCGCCGCGCTTTGCGTGCACTAGATTCACAGTCTGGTGCTTCATATCTTTTTTGTTTGAATCTATCCTGACTCACCCTTTTCGAAGCTTCCGAGCTTATAACAGCACGTTTCTTCTTAGTGTCATCTAACTTCTTCTCCGCTTTGTCCTTTCTGTTTTGTTCTTTTTGTTGCTTTTTCCCCGTTTCATCGTTCTTGTTCTTCTTCTCCTTGTTTTCTTCGCTTTCCTTTTCCTTTTTGCGATTCATCTTCTTCTAAAGTTTCATTCCTTTTGGGTATATACGAAGCTGAATAATCCTAATTTTTACTAATTCAACAGTAAGGTGTGAGTTGGGTAGCTTCATGATTTTTACAGCCTACTTCTCACCATTCATTCTACCAACTATTGTTAATTTGTGTTGTACAATAAACAATAAAATGCGTAACATGCAGAACAAAGGTGCCGACGCAACACCATACACGTTAAGTTGTATGGTAAGATTTAAAACATATGAGGGAGCTTGCGGAAA